GCAGCTTATTTGATGGTGATTCAGCCTCTGGTACTTCAATTGGGCTTGATATTCCTCCTAGAATCAATGAATTGCAATATGATCCAGAAGCTGACATGAGGAGCTGCCTTATGACTTACAAGGATCTTAGTGAAAGAGAAGAGCGGCAGCCTCTGAACACCATTGATCAGAAAGATGAACCGCATTTGCCTGAACATGGGGGCGAACTTAGTTCATGGGGAGTTGTCAAGTGCAGTTTATACCTCTCTCCAATTTGGTTTATAACTGAGGTAACAAGATTTCCCCTGCTTATCTGCTGAATCCGTTGTCTATTAGGAGAAGTTTTCAGGTGCAAACCAAGGGTACCGAAATGCTGGTCATGTGATAGATATATGCTAGAAGTTTCATTGAGGACCTGAGAACATATTCTAACTGCTTGAGGGAAAAAAATAACTGGGTTAGTTGACGACTTGAATTAATAAAGTTCTGTAATTGGTTTAGTTTAATTAATGAGCTAGGCACATGATCATTTTCAATTTCAACAGGATGATAAGCATGGATGCATTTTTCTTGCTTAATTTGTTTGACTATTGTACTGCTTTGATATCTTGCAGTACTTATCAAATTCTGCTCTTGCAAATACTAGCGTTGCAAGTACCACTGTGTTAACCTCGACTTCGGGGCTTTTCACACTCTTCTTTGGAGCTCTTATTGGGCAGGAATCCATAAATTTTGTGAAAGTGGTCGCTGTTTTTATAAGTATTGCTGGTGTTGCCATGACCACGATTGGGAAGACTTGGGCGTCTGATGAAATGCTTAGTGTCTCTGAGTAAGTCAATCCTTTCTCTTTTTTTTTTTTTTGGGGTAAATAAGTCAATCCTTTCTTGGTTAGATGTAACATGGACTCACTGAAGGCTATTCCTGTCTCTCTTGCCTTCATTGCTCACATGTTTGTTTCTCCCCTTTATTAAGCTATGCATTCTAGATTTTGTATGCGGCTTCAATAAGGGGGTTTTCCTGATATTCTATAAGCCATGTTTATATAGGGTGAAGTGTTTTGACTGTTAAAAAGAAAAGTCACCTCTTCATTCTATAATTTCATATTTTCTAAACCATGTGATGTTCATTTTTCCTAGGAGTAGAAGGCACTCCATTACAGGGGATATTTTTGGTCTTCTGTCAGCAATTTCATATGGACTATTTACAGGTAATTTGGCAGTGACAATTTATCATATAAGAATTCAATGGCTGTTATAATCAGTTTTAATCTAGTTAGACTGTTTCTTACTTAACACTATTCTATTTAATGCAGTTCTTCTTAAGAAATCTGCGGGATCTGAAGAAGAAAAGGTAGATGTGCAGAAGTTCTTTGGTTACATTGGTCTCTTCACTCTTCTTGGCCTTTGGTGGCTTGGTAAGTAGTTCGTTAATCACAGGAGAGATAAGCATTACTTCATCTTAGCTGAAAATTTTAAACAGATAGTACTCGAATGAGAAATAGAGCATAGAAATTGAAACTCGTCTATTTACAGGAAATGCTTTAAGCATGTAGCCTTCCCCTGTCCCCTCCCCCTTT